TGTGCCTCCTGTAGCAGGAGCTCCCTCAGTAAAGTGTAGCCCGGTACCCAGATGCGATCGGTGCCGGCTTTTACGTAATAAAACCCTTTTGTTGCTGCGAAGTACTGCGAGTTTCCTCTGGTAAAGAACGGGTCTGTTTGATAACCATGGGTAAATAGTCCTGTAAGTAGTGGGCTGGTCTGGGCAAGAAGTATGGCGTGTATTTGGGCAGTTGGTCAGTGCGTCGGCGATGATTGAGGCTTCTTTTTTGTAGGTGATCGTATAGCAATAATTGGACTCGAAGAAGTCAAGCCAACGGACCTGTCGTGGGTTGAGGTGGGGCTGTGCGCGGAGGTACTAAAGTGATTTGTGGTCTGTCCGTACTGTCACGTCTGCGCCGGTCAAGTAACAGCGCCACACTTTGAATGTGTACACGATTGTGAGCATTTCGCGGTCGTGTATCCGGTAATTCTTTTTCAGGCGAATGCAGTTTTCGTGACTCGTATGTGATGGGCTGTAAACCGTTGCCGAAATACTGTAGTAGTACGGCTCCGATGGCGATGTCGCTTGCGTTTGTAACTACCTCGAACGGGCGGTGTGGGTCGGCAATGCGTAGTACGGGCGGTGAGCAAAGAACTGCTTTCAGGGCAGAAAAGGCAGCATGCTCTTTCTTCCCCCCGCGTAAAAACGACCCCCTTCCATAGCAAATCCGTCAGTGGGGCAGTTAACCGTGCCACGTCGGGGAAGAACCGACGCACATATTTAACGAACCCTAAGAAACTCTGCAGCTCCGTGACGTTTGTCAGGGGGCGCCAGGCTTTCACCGTGTCTAGCTTTTTTGGGTCGATCTTCACTCCAGCCTCCGAAATAACGTGCCCGAGGAATTCTAGCCGGTCTTGAAAAATCCACACTTCAAACGCTTGGTCAGTAGGCAGTTTTCGTCTAAAATCTTATATACGGCTTCCAGGTCGGCTAAGTGCTGCTGCTTGTCGCGACTGTAGACGAGGATGTCGTCAGCGCGGGGGATGGGATACTGCAATTTGACTGTTACCCTGTTCAGTGCACGGTACTCAGTACACATGCGAAAACCTCTGTCTTTTTTCTGTGTTAACAGTATCGATGCGGCGAACGGTAACGAACTAGGTCGGATGAACTTTTACTCCAGCAGGTAGTCTAGCTGCTTTCTCGGTTCGTCGAGTTCGGGCTGTGTCAGCCTGAATTATTGCTGTACGGTCGGTTGTGCCCCCGGTTCTAACTATATACGCTGAGGTGGCAGTCCTTCCGGTAAATCGTCGGGGAAAACCCCCGTGTATTGTTTCAGTAGCTCCTGCAGTTCAAGCGGTACGGCTGCTAGCAATTTCTGGAAATCACTTGGCCCCTCTACTTCTCCTACCATTGCGATGTCCACTGCGTACACGTCAGCTCCAGCGGCGACAGCCCGTTTCATCATTATCACTCAAGCGACTATCAGCGAGGTAGTTTGACCCAGTTACCACCGCTTCGCACAGTGCAGTTACCTGTCGTCCAGTCCATTTGCGGGTGTAGCGTCGAAGCCAATCACGTCCCAGTAAAATGTCGTGCCCATCCAGTGTCGTCGCGAACATTTCATGTGTAAACCCGAAGTCCCCCCCGCAGCGAACCTTCACTCTCTCCACTTTCTCCCGTATGGCCAGTGGTGTGCCGTCAACTAAGCGTGCGTCGATCTTCAGTAAACAGCAGCTAAGCGTCAGTTGCAGTTTCTGTGCCGTTGCAGTATTAACTAAACTGTGACTTGCTCCTCAGTCAATAAAAATCTTCACTGCTACCCCCTTTACTTTCGCGTGAATCAGTATTAGGCAATCTGTCGTTGTACCCTCCTTATTCAGCCGAGCCCGATCGATTGCGTGAATCGGTACTTTAACTCGGTGAGGGTCAGTGGGTTCGGGCGAGCAGCAAGTCTCGTCAGTAGTGGGCCCGTACTCTACTGACTATTGGCGTTTCCCTGCCTCCCAAACTCCCTCCCCTGCTCTGCTCCACGGCGCCTTAGCTCCTCTGAGCATTCGCTCTTGCGATGGCCCGACCTGTTGCAAGCGAAGCAGCGCCCCTTGAATGGTGCAGCAGCTGCGCTCGCGGCAATGGCGTGTACAGTGGCATGCTCGATCGGTCCCTGGGGACGATGTCCGTAGTAGGACCTTGGTTTCAGACGGCGTAATATATCAATCTTCTCGGCGAGTGCTAAGATTTCGTTGAAGTTTGAGAGACCGCAAAGCATGATATCGTGTGAGATTTCCGGCTTCAGTCCGCCGGCGTAACGATCCACTCGCTCCGCCTCATGCATGTAACCGACTTGCTCACACAACGCGAGAGAACCGCTGGTGTAGTCTTGAACCGACCCGAACTACCGGCCAAGTACGCAACTTCTGACGTGCCGAAATCGAAGCCGCGATCGGCTCGAAGCGCGCCCGAAGCCCTGCGCACCTCACATCCCGCGTGCTGTATTGGGCGGTTTTGCAGAACGAACTCCATGTGACGGCTGGTCCCATGGGCCCTTCCTCTTGCGACAGTGGCTTGTAGGCATGCGGCAACGTCACGATGACTCGCCACAACTCCATGGCGGGGCCCCGCAGCAATGAAACGACGTACCGAATCTTCGCTGCATCAGACGTGACGTAATTCACTAAAAAAAAAAAAAAAACGTTCATCGTGAAAATCCACGATTGAACCGTCGGACCTCCACGCTGGCTAGGATCGAAGCAAGGCGGACGTTGCGGTTTGAGTGGCATTGGCTCACATATGTCGTCGTTGCCTGCATGTGCATTAAACCCGATGTGACGACGAGCTTCGTGAGATACGTTTATGCCCAGTGCGGCCCTCGTTCTCTTCATGCCTGGCATTGATTGGGCGGCGCCATTAATGACTGCGCTTGAGCGCTGTCCCACGCTGTCGTGCCGCGATGGTGTGCCTGAAGATGACAATCGGCTCCTCCGATTGCGCAGGTGCATTTGCAGGTGTTGGTGCTGGTGCATTCATTGTTGATCGCCGTCGGGTGGAGTCGCGTTCTGCCGTGAGCGTCGCAATTTCGAGGGTTGATTCCTCAAGTTGGCGCAGAAGTTCGTCGAGGCACTTTGGGTCAACGTCGCAAGGTTGATTTTGGCCATACCGGGGGTGTCGGGCGAGCTCACCAAGAGCCTGAGTCATGGATGGGTGTGCTGGCGTGAGAGCACACGAGCAGCGGTGCTTGTTCGCCGAGAGACGTCTACCCCCTCCAAAAATTGAGATCATGGGGAAGCGAAGGTGTGGGCGCGGTCCGAGTATAGATCGTAGGCTCTGAATACCAAGTGTTACGAGTGCAATTGAGCGAGCAAGCGAGGATTACACCATCGAAGCAAAACTATACATTGAGCGAAGATTATGTAGCGAAGTTGGCGTGGTAATGGTAACGCGAGAGGTTTGGCTGCACTACGGGCCTAGCGCCAAGGTTGGGAAAGTGTCGAGGCGGGGGCCCGGAGCGCGAGTTACCAACCGAGCTGTGGGGTTGGGTCGTGTCGTGAACAGTGGTAGGAACAGTGGTCGAGGCGAGTGTCGCGAGTGGTAACGGTGTACTGTCGGGGGCTGCTGGCGGGAACACTAGTGTACGCAGTAAGCAGGGGCGCGAAGTAAGAAAAAAGGAAATTTCCTTGCACGGGCACAAAAGTGAGTTATTGGAATTAAACTTAACGGGCACTAGTGAGTTCATTAAATACCATTGAGTAATCAAACTTAACGGGTCGAATCTCATGTGCTACAGTTTCTGAAATTTCAGTGAAGTCATCTGACATGCTCAGTTCTGCGACGAGAAGGGGACGTGAAAGGCTCCAAACCACTCGTGACTTCTCTGACGCGACTCGGTTTTCCGGGCCAAGAACGTTTGGACGGTGATCAGAGCAGAACCCCAAACTTGCGGCACGGGCCTTCTGTGGGGTGCGAGTTCTGTGCTGACCGTCCAAAACAATTTGTCGACTTTTTGGGCCCAGCAAGGCGAGGGAACCTTTCATAAGCCAAACCGGAGCCCAGATGTCCAGTTATGCCTGCCCGGAAGGAAACAAGTTTCGGCGGGAATTTCCTGCGCCACGAACTGAACCGCAGGCTCGATGCGCACAATCAACTCCGTGTCGGATGTTGGATAGCATGCTGACTTCTGCCAAGCCGACCCGAGGCTTGAATGCTTTTCGAGCGCACGGCAGCAAGAGCTGAGGCTCACAAGGTCGTACTTTGCTTCCGCCAGACTATTTTGGTGGAACGTAAGGTAATAGCAAGACCTTTCGTAGCAGTAAGGACACCACCACACATGCCTTGACTGGCAGTCCTTCTGTTTATCTGCATCCATTTCCGTTATGGCCCCATCCATCCATGCATGTCGCTTTCGTCCGCCTGACCCCGTGAAGTGATGGGACTAAAACTCGTCAATTTTTCAGCTGCAGCTGCTCTGAACAGGTCCGTTCGCACGTAGGCCTCGTGCTGGTGAAGCTGCTCATTCCTCCGTCTCAAGGCACCCTTTTTTCTCCTCCATCCTCTTCGCTCGCTCCTCACCTCAGCGAGGCCCACCATCCCAGTATCCTTTCGGAAATTAGCTGGTTGAGCTTCACAGGCGATCAGTTTCCAGACGTGTTGGCATCGACTCCTGACGCTAGCGCGACTCACAGCCCGCGAGGGGAAAGAGAGCAATCGTCTAGTTGCTACTGGTCCTCCACCGTCTAATCCAACGTGTAACAAGCGGGATTTCGGGCCGCGGGCCTATTGTACTAAATAGGCTCGATTAGTGAGCATAGCCTTGGTATCGGGTGGTGCTGAAGAATGTATGCTAGATACCGCTCCGTAACCTAGATGAAGAAAACGCGATGAATTTTGACCTCAACTCGTGCTTTTTCTGAATAGAGCGATACACCTGAAGTATTACCTGTGCAATAGCATTCTCTTCCTAGCGTAGGCACACTCAGCTTACTCTTTGGTCTAAGAGCACCCGAAGCAGTTGCTCGTGAATCCTAGAGGGGTAATCAGAGGCGATGGGCTGGCTGAGTTGTTGCGGGGAATCCTCTAGCGCGGACGATCTCAACCACAGATGGCGAAAAGGGTCTTCGGAGCGGGCCGTCGCAAACCCGAAAGTCGCTCCTGACATCGTCGAAGGTGCGCCGAACACACATTGCCACCAGAGCCACACGCAAGTCAGCATCCCACCTTCGAGCCCTGGTCTGGAAACTTCTTATTTTGAGACGTTTCAGAACTTTACACTGATGAAGGTGCACTGAACTCGTACTGCCCCCACAGTTACTTGGTCGGCATCTTGCCGGACCTTCACATGCAACAGAGGGTACTTAGTCGTGGTTTCTCAGCCTTCTCTCGGATTTTGACTGTTTAAGATCGTTGTTGATTGTACGCACCTGGCCGCTTCGCTTTCTCCCCTTGCCCGCCGATTTCTTTCTGCACTCGCAGGTATGACCCCCTCACCCTCTTCCCGGAAAGGAGAAAGCGAAATGTCTTACGGCGACACAACCGCCAAGGCTGACGCTTCGCTCCGGTCGGATCGAGGCGCGAACTCTCCGCAGCAGAAGCAGCAGCAGCAGCAGCAGTAGTAGCAGCAGCAGCAGCGGCACTCGATCAATCCAAACTTCGTCTGTTTCTCGGAGCGAGGACGGGGGTGCAGCGGTGCCGTTGGGTGGGGAGGCCGATGTGGCCGAAACTGGAACAGAAAACGTTAACGGACAGGCTCCTGCTTTTGCGGCCGCCGCTTCCGCTGATGGCGAAACGCGAAGGGCGGACGGAGAGTCGCACGTGAGCGATCCCGCGTCTCAGCCTTCGCAGCCGTCGTCGCAGCAGGTGTCGTTCAATCCGCTAGTAGGGGTTGCTCCGTCGATCGCCGCGCAGACGTTCACGTTTCGCGAGCTCGAGCGTGCGACGGGCGGGTTCTCGAAGAAGAACTTTGTAGGAGAAGGAGGCTTCGGACGCGTTTATAAGGGAAAGCTGGAGTCTACTGGCCAGGTGAGTCGTTCGTTCCTTTTGGTGTGCTCTGTTGTTGCTGCTGCTGGCGCTGGTGCTTGGTTCCGATGCTGCTATTTACCACTTCGAGAGTTGTGTTCACTGCGAGGCGTGTTGAGTTTTATTTTCTTACTATGGTTGGAAGATCCAGCTACAGTTGCCAAGCGCAGGTATTAGACTACTGGTTGTTGGCTTCTACACGAACGCCGTCAATCCCGAGATGCATGGAGGGCCTAAAATGTAAGGCAGCACATAAAATGTGCTGTGACCTGGACGTTCTGTGCCGATCAGTTTTCCCCGCGTCATCCACGATATTGTGCTTTGTATTGCAACAGATTGTAGCCGTGAAGCAGCTGGACCGTAACGGAATGCAAGGCAACAGAGAGTTTCTCGTGGAGGTGCTCATGCTGTCGCTGTTACACCACCCGCATCTCGTGAACCTGATTGGCTACTGCGCCGATGGCGACCAGCGGCTATTGGTTTACGAATTCATGGCGAACGGCGCACTCGAGGACCATCTACATGGTAAGAACATTAAAAGATATTTCCTGTACAAACTCGATCCTTTAAGCTGTCAGTATGATAGTTAGTTCTGCTTTTTTGAAGTGCCGTTACTGTTGATAAAGTCCAGCTGACACATAGCACTAAAAAGGATGCTCACGTGATGGCTCCGTGTTCCCGCTTTGGGCTCTCCTGTTTCGTCATTACGTGTTACAGACCTGCCCGAGGGTAAGGAGCCGTTGGAATGGAACATGCGCATGCACGTGGCTGCTGGCGCCGCCAAGGGTCTCGAGTATCTACACGTCAAGGCGAATCCTCCCGTTATTTATCGCGATTTCAAATCGTCCAACATTCTTCTCGACGAATCATGGCATCCTAAGCTCTCCGATTTCGGCTTAGCGAAACTCGGCCCGGTTGGCGACAAAACGCACGTTTCGACACGCGTGATGGGAACATACGGTTACTGTGCACCCGAGTACGCTATGACGGGTCAGCTTACAGTGAAGTCGGACGTGTACAGCTTCGGTGTGGTGCTCTTGGAGCTGATCACTGGTCGGCGGGCGATTGACATGAGGAGGCGACACGGCGAGCACAATCTCGTCGCATGGGTAAGCCACGTGGCAGTCTGTGACTGGTCTGATGGGCGAGAGAGGGGGTTGTGTGATTGCGGGGTGTATGAGGTGAAAGAGGGGGTGGTGGTTTATTGCCGTAAGTCATGTTTTCCATTGCCCAGGCCTCCTCATGTTCCCTTTCCCTCTCCCTAACCCTCCCTTCTCTTACCCCCCCTCCCAACCCCCACCCCCCCTCCCTCCCTACCCCAGGCTCGACCACTGTTCAAAGACCGGCGGAAGTTTCCAGCCATGGCGGACCCGGGGTTGCGGGGTCGCTACCCGATGCGAGGGCTGTATCAGGCTCTTGCCGTGGCGGCGATGTGCTTGCAGGAGCAGGCGGCTCAGCGACCCATGATTGGCGATGTGGTTACCGCGTTGAGCTATCTCGCCAATCAGCCGTTTGTCCCCGATAAGATCACGAGGTGAGTGGGGTGCCTGGCAGGAGGAGTGGGGAGTGGTGCAAGGTGGTGGGGAGTGGGCGGTTTGGTGAATTTGTGGGTGCTACAAAATGTGCAGCCTCTTTGCTGTACTGAGTTAAATGTACAGTGGGCTACCCACCTCTATTCAAACATTCAAGCTTTGAAGAGGTGTTTTGAGCCCTTTTATGCTTATTCCACCTCACCGACGCCGTCCCTTCTCCCTCGTCCCTTCCCTGTTCCTCCAACCACAGGCCGCCACCTGGCACGCCACAGCACAACCCGATGGACCGCAGGAGCAACTCCAGCGGGGGCGGGGGAGGGGGCGAGCGCAAGGGCTCGCGCTCCCCCGCCCCCCACCACCACGGAGGGGTAAGGCGCTCCGCCCTCTCTCCCATGCAGTCCCCAGACGTGAGACACATGCACCACCACCACATGAACCACCACCGGTTCTCGGAACGGGGTGAGGAGGAAGGAGGAGCGGTTGCATCTGGTTCTGCGGGTGGTGTTGCTGGGTCGGCGAGTCCGATGCGAGTGAGGGGTGGAGGAGGGTATAGGGAGGGGCCGGTGGGGTATAGGGAGAGTCCGGGGCATGGAGGGGTGGGGAGTGGAGGCAGGACGCCAAAGAATCAGAAGGGGTATGGAGAGAATTGGAGGGCGCGAGGGGAGGAGAGAGTGGGAGGAGGTGAGGAGAGTAGGTGAGGGTGATGCTGTGAAAAAGTGAGGGAGCGGAGGGAGCACAAGGGAAACGCAACCTAGTTATGCAGCAGGTGCACATACCTGTGTGGAGAGATGGGGGGATGAAACGGAGCAGCATGGGGTGCAAGCTGGCGCTGTGACAGAAGATGGATTGACTACAGTTTCTGGGCGTTGACGTGTCTACAGGATGTGATCAGGGCATCAATCTGGCGATTCTTTGTTAGAACACCAACTTGCTCGTTTTCCCACTGAGACAATTAGGGAACGATGGCGGTTTAGGCAATTGGACCTTGGTCGTTTCTTGCACAACAGGTATATTAAAGAGCTGATATTATATAGGAAGAGTGGGGATGTGGTTGAGAATCACTGTGGGTGGGAGAAAATGCAAGGGTTATAGCTGCTGTCACATGCAGGGTTTGCTGGGTTAGAAGCTGTGTGTGGTATTGTGTTGTGATCCCATCTGCTCTTTTAGAGTTGAACGATCAAAGTTATCTTTTCTCTTTCAGGACGTTGTCCATAGTAGTTTAGCAAAACATAATGCATTTTCTCAGCTCCTTTTTACCATAACGGTTTGTCAATGTAGAGCTGTTGGAGTGCAGGCAAATGCTTTGCAACTTAGGGTTGATGTACATGCTTAAATTCAATTTTGTTGATGGTATAGGGTTGTCAACACTGGTTGTCAATGTTCCCCTTGTACGGTTGTTGCCTTGCCAACCTTGTTTGAGCGGTTATCGGTCCTGCCTGACAGCCATTTCCAAATGGTGGAGCGCAGTGCTGGGTCCCAAACAGTATTTTCGCCTTGGGAGCACTAGCAATGCTGCCATGCAGCTTGTCGTGGGCCACCATCCATTTGATCATAAACATCAGCGAAAGGGGTTCTGCCCTCGACGAAACGCCCACGACAGGGTCATTGACCCCAACGACAGTGGTAATCTTCGCAAACTTCGTGAAGAAGTAGGTCCTCTGTTTGTGGTACAGTACTCAACTTCCGCACCCATGTTAGCCATGTCGAGACGAGAATCATGACAGCCTGGCATTTGGACACTCTCGAAGTGGTGTTGGTGTTTCTTTTCGATTTACGCACCACGGTTCTGTTGGATGCGTTGCGTTCTAAAACGGTGAAGTGTTTGCACCGCTGTGTACCGTTCTGGAGAGGTCTTTAACCGCACGGTAAGGTGCCCCAGATACCTCCAGTAAGCCAAAGCAAGTTCTCTCCACAAGTTGTGAGGCCAGCATTCTAGTGCTGCTGTTATTGCAATTGTCGCATAGTTCGTTCGGCATAGTAGGTAGCCGACTAATTAGGTCCTGAAGCTCGTCGTTGTCAGGACTTTTCGCCAGGCCATATAATGGGTGATCACCTGCAGCAGTCGTCAGCATGATTGTTGAGCTGGTTGTTAAAGTGCAATCCTGACTGCTGGCTTCACGAGAGCAGTAAGTAGTTATGCACGTCTTCTGACCGCATTCCGGGGTGTGTCGTGCGTTTTTATTAAGTGGTTTTAGAATCGGTTGACGGATTGTAGGCGCTTCGTGCATTTCCGCGTGGTTTCTTCGCGTTATGCGTTCTGGCAAAAGTGTCGTTATGCGTGTGAGTTCCTTGAGGCGTGCAGTTTTGTTATCGCCTTTTAAGAAACCGTTTCCTTTCTGTTTCCTTTCTGGATATTTATGTGACGTTCAGCACCGTAAGGTCGTTGATTGACGACGGTTCAGCTGTGTATTTCTTCGCCAAACTCCATAGCCGAGCCTTTTGAGCCGTCTCAGAAGTTAAGCACCGTCGGGTTGTCGATCGACGACGCCATAGCTAGACCTAAATTTCCAATCGCACCGACAGCGCTCTCTGGTTCAAACTCATGGCGACCACCTCAGCGACTGTTGAGGCGCCTCAAAACACTACCTCAGCGAAATGAAATGCTGCGATTGGGAGGACTGCCACGTCGGCACCGGCATCGCCGCACATTGCTGCTCCTGCCAGCAGATTTTTCTTCGTCCCGGAAAGCCTCTCGCCAAAATTCGCCGTTCTCCTTCGTCTCCTCCTGGTCCTGAGAACCCTACGATGACGTCATCATCCGTATCATCAACCCCTAGGTCCGGCGTGTTCCATCGTCCCTTCAGCAGCCCGCAGCTCAACATTTTTTCCCGCGCTTTCAGCAGCAGCCCTGCCAGCGATATTTCGGCTCGTTATAAGCGGTCTCGGCGACGGTGGGAATCGGTGACGCATATCCTCCCGCTATCTTGCTTCGGTAACGAGGATATGACGCTGGATCATGACGAACCTCCTCAACGTATCGAAACATCCACACCAACTAGGTCCGGCACGCACGGCTGGGGAACGCCTAGGTCCCGTGCGTCTTGGTTCGGCGCGTCTAAGTCCGGCACCAAAGCTGATGCCGTCCCGGAGCTTGTGTTGGAGGTTCGGGAACGAGGCGGTGCTTCCGAGCCTGCTGCTTCTCGCGCAGAGGCAGCGGCTGATTCCACTTTAGCGAGTAGAGATGTGGGCGAAACGGGTAACCATGTCGAAGTATCGGGGAACCATGTTGGAGTAACAGGCGATACGATGGAGGGGTCACGGGATCCGGAGACTAAAGGGGAAGGCAGGGTGGCGAGGGACGAGCGGACGCAGGAGAACGGGATTTCAACGATCGGACTGCCGAGCGCGGAGCTTGATCGTGCGGGGATGGGGATAGTGTGCGCACATGAGGGGGTGGCGGAAGAGCCAAGGGGGGACGCGGGGGGTGCGGAAACTTCACTTGCGGAAGCAGGGGATGCGGAAACGTTAAGAGCACGGGAAGCGGAAGCGCCACGGGCGGAAGCAGGGGGAGCGGAAATGCCACAGGCGGAGGCAGGGGAAGTGGAAGCACCGCAAGCGGAAGCACGGGAAGAAGAGATACGAAAGGCGGAAGCAGGGGAAGCGGAAACACCACAGGCGGAAGCGGAGGAAAGGGTTGGCTGCGCTGGTGCGGACATTGCTGTTTTTGATGCTGATACTGCTGCTGCGACTGGCCATGTTGCTGCTGCTGCTGTTGCTGACGGTGCTGACGGTGTTGCTGCTGCTGCTGCGTGTGCTGAAGGTACAGAAGGGACTCTAGTTTCCCCCAATAATTATTCTGGCAATCCTGTGCTTGATACTGTCCGTGAACCGGCAGCAACAGTTGATGACGTGGCGAAGGCCGTAGCAGATGATGACGTGGCGAAGGCTGTGGCAGCTGATGACGTGGCAAAGACTGCGACAGCCGACGCCTGTCAAACGTCAATCGCACCAGCAGGTGAAAGTGCAGCGTTTCAAGAAGGCAGTGGTTTAGGTATAGCAGTAGATGAGTCTGTAGTTGTCGACGCGGATCATACTGTAACGCGTATTCCGGATTCTGCTGTTACTGTAGGTCTCGAAGAGAGCAATTCGGTAACCATAGGTCTCGAAGAGAGCAATTCGGTAACCGTAGGTGTAGAGGAGAGTGGAACGGTTGGAGAGAGTGATGCTGTAGGTGTAGCAGCGGGCGAGGACGTGGTTATCACAGTTAGTGAGCCTGTTACATTCGTTACAGGTGCGGCAGTAGGTGAAGCAACAGGAACGGCTGTAGCTGCAGGAGAGACTGTAGGCATAGCAACAGGAGCGGCTGTAGCAACAGAAGGGGCTGAATCTGTGGATGCAGCAGCTTCCGACTCTGCACCCTTCATCCAGTTAGATGCTGCTGCTGCTGGGTCATCTGCTGCTCCTGCTGCTGCTGCTGGTGCTGCTGCTGCTGCTGCTGCTGCTGCTGCTGGGTATACTGATACCGAGCCCACCGCTTTCAGTCCTTCTCAAATGGCATTTTCTGAGGCCGAACCGGCCAGTCCGAACCTGACACCTAGGCTCGGGGTGCCCAGGCTCGTGCTGCCCAGGGTCGGATCTGGAGCGGGAAGGAGTGCGGCCGAGGGGCAGAGGGCGGACGACGCGCGTTTAGCAGCAGAGGAAAGGGGAAAGATGGGAGCGGGGGAAGCAGAGAGGTTGGACGGAAGGGAGGTAGAGGGGTTGGGGGGTCTTAGCCCGAGCTCTTTCTCTTCTACCCCTGATGTACAGTCACGCAGCGTACAGTCACGCGGCGTACATTCACGCGGAGTACAGTCACATTCCGCGGACTCCCCCTCTCCTCAGCCCCGTGTGCCTCACTCGCACACTCACCCCTCCATCCGCTCTTTTGCTCCCCCAGACTCTCCTTTCGGGGTATCCCCAATTCCGTCCTCTGAACCGCTCGTGCCACACTCACACACGCACCCATCGCACCCCCCTTTCCTACAGCCTGACTCGCCCTCCTCCCCCCAACCGCCTGTGCCGCATTCGCACACTCACCCGTCGCGCACACACACCCAATCCCTTCATTCCCAATCCCTCCACCCCCAATCCCACCACTCTCAACCCCACCACACCCAAGCTTCTCGCTCTCAATCGTCTTACTCTCTCCCAGACGCTGCTCCCCCATCCTCCCCTCCCCTTCCTGCTACCGCCACTCCTAGGAGTCCCCCTTCCGTTTCCCCCGTTACCCCAAACCGCCGCTCCGCGCCTTCCTCTCGCCACCCCCGTTACAATCCGTCTCTGAATCCCGCTCCTCCGCGCCCACACTCCCCCGTTATAGGAACGTTCTCCTGGGGCGCAACTTATAGCGGATTCCGCCCGCCAGTTGCGCCCTCTAGGTCCGCGCGCACCCCCCCGTCCGCGCTGGGGGGAGGAGGAGAGGGGGGAAGGTCAGGGTCACGGGGAGGGGTTAGTCTGAGGGATCGGATTAGGGGGAAGAAAGAATCAAGGAGAGGAGGGGGAGCAGGAGCAGGGGACAGAGACCTGGCTGATGAAGGGGATGAGGAAATCGAAAAGGAAACCCGCACTCAAGCCCCGTACGTATCAATACCCGGGGCGGATGGCGAGGAGGGGAGTTTACCCTGGAAATCAGGCGCGGCCGAGCCTGAGCTCACGCCCCGGTCCAACTCCCTCCCAAACGCCTGCTCCCCATTCTCCCTGCTCCTCCCTTCAGACATCA